TTGGAAGAGAATTACAGATGAGAATTTTTTTTTAATTTAAGTTCTTTATAATTTCATTTCCTTATTCCCTATGTGAATGTGAATAAAAGGATATCCATAAAACGCTGTAACTATCTTGCATTGCATCCCAGACAAAAGGTGCATGCATTTCTAAAACTCCTGGTTTTGGATAACCAGAAAGAGGAATATTCTTTCTAAATCCATCCAAATTCTATTTTGCAATTTACTTAGGAAAAAAACAACAACACTACACTCAAATTGTTATATGTGGATTTACAACATGGTCAGGCCACTAGAAGAGATGCAGGTAGAATCTGGTGGATTTATTTGTCATGAAGTGATTCAGAAAACCAAAAGAGGGGATAGCTTAGTTTAGCTTCCTATACGACAATGTTATTCCCCACAGAATTAACCCATTTTCATTGTCATATCTATGTGACTTCCCTCGCTCTATAAAAAATTAGAACTTTTCTATATTTACACATCTGGCCATTTCTTCAGTATTCTGGAAAGAAGAAGCATAACCTTGTTTCAAAGTGTGCTGCCTTAAAAAGAAGCTGGAGCCTTGGCCAGTTTGGCTCAGTGATTGGAGCATCAGCCTGAGGACCAAAGAGTCGCAGGGTCAAGGGCATGTACCTTGGTTGCAGTTTGGTTCTTGACCCTGGTTGGGGTTGAGTGGGGTCAACCAAAAGATGTGTCTCTTTCACACTGGTATTTCTCTCTCTTTGTCTCTCTCCCTCCCACTTTACCTGAAGATAGATAGAGAAATATCCTCAAGTGAGGATTAAAAACAAAAAGAGGTTGGAAAAGATATAAAGTAACAGAAACTTAAAAATGAATGATTATTGGCAATTATTATAGAAATATATGAGATACAAATATTGTTCTCTTTTCCACTTGAGAGTAAAACCAAACTAAGTTGCTTAAAGCTTCTTAAGATGAACAAATTATAAAATAGGTCATGCATTCTGTATAATAAGTAAAATACTGAATTAAAGTTTGTTCAGTACTCTAGTAGATTAATTCTGGATTTGAAACAAAAAGGCAGTTACAGAACAAAACATTTTTTTCCACTAATAAAAATAATACTTTAAGGCTCAAACTGTAAGGTTCTAAACAGAATCTTGTCAACATCTCTTCATAATATTAATAAAGTTCAAGGCCATGTTTACTGAAAAAATTTTGGCAAGCCAAACTTGCACAATTAAAATAAACTACAGTGTCACGTGATTTGGTTTCTCAAAGCCTGGAATTTTGACCTTAACTGAAGTCTTCCCAATTCTAATGCTACAAATAACTACGCCAGCTGAACAAAATATTAAACTATTAATTCGAGAATGTGGTTGTGCCTTTTCAATGTGCATGTCCCATGCAAATATTTAGTATAAGCTTATTCATTTGACAAATATTTATCGCACATCTATCAGGGCTAAGCCCCATACCAGGCGATGATAATATAAACGTGGTCAAGATCAACACCATGCCTCTCCTTAAAGGGTCAAGACAAGCATAGCAAACAGACAATTAACAAATAATTGCAAAAAGTCATCATCTGGGAATATATGGTAGAGTTGGGGAAGGCCTTCTGGAAGTTCAGAGACCATGTCTTTAAAAATCTTCAAGGCTATGGTAACAGAACAGCATGTCTATAAGTTACTGCTGCACACTGCCATCAGTTAAATTACTCTCATAACACACATGGTAATTTATATGCTAGGCTGTGTTCAATATAATATGATGCTTAATTAAAAGAGGCTTTATAAATCAAGGGTTCTTAGCTATAGTTTTAAACATCAAAAGGAATCATTTCTACCACTTCAGGAAAATCAAATAAGCATAACAAATGAACTGGCAACACAGGTTTAAAATATTTCTGAAAAATAGGAGATAGGCCTTATGAGTTTCTTTCAACCTCTTCCTCCCAAAACCACGTTAAAATCACAATAAAGGCTTTTTCAAAAAAAGGTATAAACATACAAAACTAACAGAAAAGGACAGGAGACCAAAACACTCAAGAGAATTCATCCATTTTTTATAAACTTGAAGAGATGGAGGAGTGATAATTGACCAGGGAAGCAGAGGCACAACCTGGGTACTGTGGAGGAGGATACCAAATGGAAGTAAGATAATTTGCGGTACAGACCCCAGAAAGGATAAGGCCTTTGGAACACAAGGATCTGTGTGGGCAGAGAAAATTGTGAGGCTGAAAACAGAGGATCAGATAATTATACACAAGTACAGCACTGGATACTCCCCCAACACACATGCTCTTACACATTGTGCACGTGTGCCCTGCATCCAGATTACTGTTCCTCCCACCTATCCTATTCTTTGGAGAAGCTCAATGACACCAGAGAAAAAGATTTAAAAAATACTGGAATTGGATGCCACTCCAATGAAAAGCCCAGATCACCAGATAAAAAGCCGTGCCCCTGTACAAAGAGCTTCTGAATGGTCTCAAATATAGATCAGCAACAACCACATATATGTGGGGGGAACCTCCAAAATGAAAGTGAAAGCACAGAAAATCAAACATAAAAAAGAAACTGGAAGAGACAACACAATGCATGGAGCAGAAGACAATTTAAAAGGAAAACTATGCTTCATATCTTTATAGTAAAAAGAGAAATGTAACAGCCATAAAACACAATAGAACGCTGTAACACGTGAATATCAGGGAACACAGAACAGTTCTTTGAATTAAAAAATTAGGATAGCTGAGATAAAACAGTCAATAGAAAAGCGAGAAAATAAAGTCATCTCTGGAGAAAAAGATATCCTCCGCAAAAACAAACCAACAAAAAAATTAAGTAGTTGGAAGATAAGAAAGATTAGAGTTAGATTAGGATCTGTCAGAAGATGTAACTTCGAACTAATAGAGGTTTCAGAAAAAGAAAACAGAAAATGGAGAAAAGTTCAAAGAAATAATACAAGAAAAGTGCACAGAACTTTCAGACATGAATTTCTGTACTAAAAGGGCTGAAAAGTACCCAGTACAATAAATGAAAAAAATGCCTATATCAATGCTCATTGTTGTTAAGTTTTTAAACACGGGAAATAAAGAGATTATAAAAGATTTCAGAGGGGAAAAAAAGATCAAATACAAAAGGAATAAAGATCAGAATGTACAAATGGAGACTAAGAAGAGTAAGACACAGGATTTTAGTATTATTTGACTTCTAAAACAATGTATTTTCATAAGCAATAAGCAATAATAACATAAGCAAATAGATCCATAAGTAAATAAATGAATAAAACAAAAGTTAAGCAAACTGACTGAATGCTCACTACGTACTAGGTACCATTCTTTTACAAAATGTATTATCTCATTTAACTCTCGTAACAGTATGAGGAAGATACAATCAACCTCTTTTTACAGCTGAAGAAGCAGGCACTGACAGGTTAAGTAATGATACAACTAGTATGTCCTGGAGTCAGAGTCCTGGTTTTCTGAGTGTGGTCTTTTAAATAAACCACATGATACTATCTCTCAACTTTAAAAGTAAAATTAATTTAAAAAAAAAAGGAAGCACTATTTGGATGCTTCCTATATTGCTATCCTGTTCTCAGATCAACTGTGATTGATTAAAAGTTCTTTGCCCTAGCTGGTTTGTCTCAGCGGTTAGAGCGTCAGTGGACCAAAGAGTGCAAGTTCAATTCCAGTGAAGGGCACTACCTCAGTTGCAGTGCAGGAGGCAACCAGTTGATGTGTCTCTCTCACATCTATGTTCCTCTCTCTCTCCCCCTCCCCTCTATCCCTCCCTCTCCCTCCTACTCTACAGATAAATGGAAAAAATATACGTATATATCCTCGGGTGAGGATTTTAAAGAAAAGCTCTCTCTTGGTTGATCAGGACATAAGTTTAATGTATGTATGTGTTGGGGGTTGGGGGGTGAAGGTTGAAGGTATTTGATAGTATTTTAAGTATTCATTGTATAAGAGTACTTTATGCTAGGTATTTGTGATTTGCTGCTAGAAGGTCCATAAAGTAGATTCCTTGATATAAGTGCATCAACAACTTCCACCAAAGCAATGACGCACCTACAGCATCAGATCACCACTGTGTATCTTGTGCAAAGAATAAAGGGTATATAAATTTTATTAAAGTTAAAAATAAATTTTTTTAACTTTTCTAAATTATTGTCATCTAAGCCTTTCAGTCTTCAGTCTCGCAAGGAAAATATCCCTAGACGATTTTCCTAGTTATTTACATGACCACTGACTATTCTGATGTAACAAAAACATCCGGCCCCTGTACTCACTCTTGCCTTACACTCACCTTTACCTTATATTAAGTACATAAAGACACCTGAACATTTTCATTAGAATTTCCCTCGTTCAGCTTTCTACTTTTGCTGTCCTATCCATCCATATTCTCACTACTGTCCCTACTTAAGAGATTCTACCTTTGGGATCGACTCTTTCTGAATAGCTTTTTAAATTTTTTTCTCTTTTCTGGTGGCATCTTCTTTCAGACCTATAATACGGAGGCTGCACAGTTGCAGCATTTGGTCCTTTGCGACTCACAAACTTCCATACCATACGGTCTTCGAAGACCTCACACCACTGCACTGCGTGCACCTCCTGGCTCATTCGCGGATGCCCGGCCCACCCCACCCTCGGCCTGTCCTGTCCTTGACATCTTCCTCGGGTTTTGTTCGTTTTGTCCTGGTTTGGGGTTTCCGTTGATACGTGGTGGCTGCAGCTACCATATGGTCCCCAGCATCAATGACAGCATCATCTGTGCCTTCTCAACAGCCGGGTGAGCACACCCGGGGCGCCCGGCCTAGGGTTCGGTCTGGGTCCCAGGAGGTCCCTGTCCGCGGCTGCAGAGCTCACGCTGCGACAACCCGCAATGCCGGGGTCACAGCGGCGCCCGGCCTCGGTCGCACCCGCACGGCGGTCACACCGCCCCTGCCCGCACTCCGGGGGAGCACCCGGCGCCCGGCCCTGAGACGTCACCGGCGGGCAGCCCGCGCGCACGCGCTCGCGCACCTACCGTCTCCTTGGCAGCAGCCACCGGCAGGGGCAGCAGCCCCCGGCCGCGCGGGGGGTCCTCCGGCTCTGCGTCCGCGCTCTCGGAGGGGCGCTCGGGGCTCAGCTCCCGCGCGGAGTCGGGCCTGGGGTCCCCATACAGCTGGTAGCACACGAGGCCCACCAGACCCCCGCCGGCCGCCGCCGCGATGCTCAGCTCCCCCCAGCGCCGCCGCCGCCTCCACGCCGCCTCCACCACAGCCCCGTCCTCCTCCTCCCGGCCGGAGAAAGGCCGGGAAGGAGGGCCCGGGGCTGTCCCCACAGGCCGCCCCCACGGCACAGGGAAGGGATGGTGAGGGGACGCTGGAGGCGGGAGCCGAGGCGGCGGCCACAGGAGCCTCCGCAGCGCAGCCATAGCGGGAGCTGCCTCCCCGGAGCTCGGAGGGGCGGGCGGGGGCGCGGGGGGGCGAAACCTCGCGAGAAGTCGGTGCGCGGAGGTTCGCTGCTGGGCGAGCGCGACCCCTGCGAGCGCGTGGCCTGGGTGCCCGCGGGCGGCTGACAGCGGCGGGACGGGGGTCTGCGCCCTGGCCCCGCGCCCTGGCCCAGCCCCGCGGACGTAAAGAACTGCGCCCGCCGGGCGACACCTGAGCGCGGGAAGCGGCCCGCAGGCTGCGCCAGGTCCGCGGAGCCCTGGCCTGCGGGGTGCCGGGCGCCCCTCTCGGACCGGCCTGTCGCCTCTGCTTTACCGGCTGACTCTTGGGTCGTCGGTAGCTGCCCTCTGAGAAAGTCACGTTCCCTAACGGGCTCCTGATCTTCGGACACAAGGTCGTGAATAAGTTGCAGTTGTATCTTGAGGAGTCCAACAGAAAAAGAGGTATAAAAATTTGGCCCAGGCCATAAAAGTGGCAAATGAAGTCGATGGGTGTTTGGACGACCCAAGGAAAGCTTCTGGACTTTTGATAGGGGACCGCGAATGCTGTTTTTTAGTTACCGTTTATATTTTTTAAAGTATTAACCATACCTGTGGTTACTTAAGTCAACAAATCAGAACTGTCTGGAAAAAAAAAATACCCTTAATTTTGGAGGGAAACTGTTGGTTTAAATATAAAATAAATAATTGATAAGTGTATTGTGGCATCTTTATCGTTGTTACGGTTATGCTTGTGTGTTACACTGTCAGCGTCGGGGCTATGAGAAGGCGGACTAGACGCTCGGAGCCTGGAGCTCAGGTCCCAGAAGACAGACTGAAAGTGGTTGGCACCCTGCCGTCTTCCCTCGGGCAAACTAAACCTGGTCTAAAGTCCAAGAAGTCACAGCTATTTAGTATTTAACACCCAGCTCCTGACACACAGTAGCGCCTCCATAAATGTTTATTAAACGAAGAAGGGAATTTATTATTGTGTGGGTGGGCAAGAGAGAAATGGCAAATTAGGAGATAAACAAATATGAAGTACCTCAGCAAACACTAAGGAGAGGATAAACCAAACAGCACATCTGGAAATGTAACTAATGCAAATAAAAGGCCAAAAGGAGAAATCAAGGGGTTGGCAAGGAAGGATCAGAGACAGAGTGTGGTCATGGGGAAAGGTTGATTTAGGAGCAAATTTTGTGATGTTATTTGGAACCAGTCTCATACATATTATAATTTGGTATGATCCTGTTGGACTTAGAGCCTTGAAGTAATAGGTTTCCACCAGGTTCTTATTGGCCTCTGAGGAATTCCAGCATGATCCAGGGCCAAAGGTCAGTGACTTGACCTTGACAGCTTCCTTTCTGTTCTTACATAGCTCACTGGTGACAACAACCAAGCTGCCAGTTGTGCACATTTAACTATCTAACGTCAAGACCAGTAACAATCTCTTTAACTGGCTGTTATATCTGTCTAGTCTGACTTATACAATTTCTGATTTTATATAATTTCCAGGGCCTTTGTTGACAGTGGCTCACTGTTTATTTCTTGTTGTTGTCTTTGTCCTCCATTTAGTGGCAGAAACTTCTTATCTTACATATTTGGCAACGAGGAATAGCAGCTCAGACTTGCTACTAGCAAAGATTCCTGTCTAAAATCAAGAGAGCCCTTTCTCAAGTGTCATCTTTTTTTTCCCTGCCCGAGAGTGATTCAAGCATCTATGCCCATTAAAAGCTGTTTTCTGGTGGTGAATAGCCTCAGAGTAATATAATAATCATCTATTATGAAAGAATGGCACTGGGGGAGCAAAACAAATAATCTTTCTAAAAATGTAACTGCTAGAGTTGAACATAAGCATACCCTATGACTCATCAATTTCTCTAGGTGAAATACTAATCAAAGATGATTACTTTATGCACACCAAAAGACACATAGAGAAACATTTGTAATTGGCCCCAAACCAGAAAGTATTCACATGTTCATCAACAGTGGTCTGGATTTTTTAAAAGTGTGATACATTAATTTAGTTGAATGCTATATAGTAATGAAAATTACTGAAGTGCAGCTACATGCAATCAAGTAGATAAATTTCACAAGCAGAAAATTGAGTCAAAGAAGGCAAACACAAAAGAATCAACTGTATTATTCTATTTTGAATATCAAAACCACATATTTATATTTACATTCAGAAATATAGTGGTTTGAGGGGTAGAGGATAGAGACTGAGAGGGAGAAAGGGAGGTTCTGGAGTTTTGTTCATGTTCTGTTTCTTGATCTGGATGCCAATTAGACAAGTGTATTCACTCTCGGAAAATTTGCAGTTCCTTTTAATGTTTGTTATACTTCAATAAAAAGCTTATATAAAATAAAAAATAGATTTTCTTCCTAGTGTTCTTATACTAATGTATTATTAACTAGAGGACTTGCTCAGTTATGAACTGTAAAACTTAGAAGGCATGTATAGAGTCTTGTGAAGAGTTGAGATAATAGTGAAATATTGAAGAGTTGGAAACTTATGGAAAAGGTAGATAATCTTGATATAACCTTGAGAGATTTAACTAAGGAGCATCTTAAGTATTTTGGTACCTGAAAACCCTTAAGAAGATGCTCATTAGCTATTTTCCTTATTTACTAAGGAAAAACCAAAAAGAACTTGGTATTTTAAGCAACCACCTAGTGTTTTATCTTCTTTGACTTGTAGTACTTTCTCCTGTGAAATGTCCATAATGATAGACCCAATAGGTACCTGGTAGTAAGGCCTAGTGCAACCAGTATATACCTTTGTCTCTGGTTCTTACCCCGAATTGTCAGGTGTTGGATGGGAAATTGCTTTAAGGGCAGATAACCAAACAGAAGGGCAGCCTTCAGAACAGATGGAAAGCTCAGCACCAAGAGGGAGCTGTTAGAGAAATCAAGCATAGTATAAGGTAAGTCCGTGTACATACATGCAGAAGCTTAGCCGGATGGTGAACCAGTTTCACTTCTTGCCAACTCCAATTGGCGGTATTGGTTACCCAGAGCACTGTGATGAACAAAATTTTCAGATTGGATCCAGAATTTATAGGGAAAAGTGCCTCGGTGGGTGAATATGTCTGCTAAGAGCAGACGATCAGACTGGGCTGAGTGGCATTATAGAACCACCATAGTTTTTTGCAACTCCTCAGTAGGAGAAGACAGTGCAAATAGCTACAGGAACAAATACATTCAAAAAGTGTTTAAATGTTTCTGTGACATGCATGTGAACATTTTGTATTTATCCCATAAAAACAGAAAAAAAAATTAGAAGTAGCTTAGTTTGAAAAAATTTTAACCTTTTAAAGGATTTTTTTTTTTTGGTGGCATGGGGAGTCCTTAGTGGAAACTGTCAAAAGAAATCCTTAGCCCCAAATAACAAAAATTTACCTATCTTTTAGTCAAGAAGGGGTTTAACAACCTCCCTTCCCTTCCTGGGATTATTAATTGGTTTCCAAGTAATTATTTTTGTTTTCCCAAAGACTTGGAATTTAAAAAAAAATCATCTCAGGCGTGGACAGAAATAACTGACTATCCAGAGCCAGGTGGAGACTCTTGAGCTGAGCCCGCAGCACCCAGTTAAAAAGGTGTGCATTTACCAGCCAGTCACCAAGAGGGCTCAGCTCTCATTTGATATTGCCAGGTAATTAAGTGTTGCTTTATGCTAATGATGATTTTTAAGTTTGGTTAAAATATATTATTTCAAATTTACAATACAATGATATAGTACATTTAAACAATACTGAAATTTATTTACACTTAAAAATTTTATTTGCCCACAGAAAGGTAGTCATTCTTAAGGCAAAGTAATAATCAAGTGATTTAAATCACCATGCAATATATTTTTTCTGTCCAAATAAATCAGTTGGCCTCAAACACTAGAGATTGATCTAAAAGTGAAAAGTCTGAAAGCACGGGTTTTCATAAATTCCTTGGCAACTGAAGCATATCAAAACTGGTCTGCACTTTGGAAATGATTGCAATTTTTTCAGGATTGTCTTAAATTTTATGTTCAGGAACCTGTAAACCTCAGACCACCACATCAAAGAGATGAAGTGAACCTTTCACTGATGATAAGACTTTATAAAAAACCACTAAATGAGCTACTCTAACATCATCATGCAGGTGCATGGGTTTCCTTGAACAAATTATCCTGGAATAGGGAGGTCTGTTCCTTCATCCTCACAGTGTTATACAAGGAAATCATGTAGGATTTGATTGTGTGTAGTAGTTGTTTCAGGGCATATGCTGTGATCAAAATCTATGTACTAGAGGCCTGAGTCCTATGATATCTAGAATTAATCATTGAACTCTTGGCTATGGTGAAATATATTACATGGACTTCAATTAAACACCTATGTGCCTGTGAAGGGTTTGTCCCTAAAGTGATTTTTAAATAGAGAGGAACATCGAACAATGATAAAATTAATATATAAAACTCAAGATTATTATCCAAACCAGGTGCTTTCTCAAACTGAAAATTAACCAAATGAAGAAAGAGGAGCTAAACATTAAATACAATCATTCATTTTTAAGTCTTTTAAAAGTAGAAATAAGCCCGGCTGGTGTGGCTCAGTGGTTGAGTGTCGACCCATGCACCAAGAGGTTGCTGGTTTGATTCCAGCTCAGGGCACATGCCCAGGTTGTGGGCTGGATCCCCAGTGGGGGGCATGCAGGAGGCGGCCAATAGATGTTCTCTCTCATCAATGTTTCTCTCTCTCTCTCTCTCTCCCTTCCTCTCTCTCTAAAAATCAATAAAGGGAAAAATCAATAAAAATTAAAAAGTGGAAACGAATGAGAAATGAACTTCAGAACATGGTGTGAATGTGCCTTTATTCTTATTTCCAATCTGTAGATGAAAGTTAAATTTTCTTCTAATATTTCTCTAATAATTATGAAGGACTGATATGACATTCAACTAGAAGAGGCCACGAGGAAAGAGGTGAAACTAGAACTTGGGGAGAGAGGTCTGAAAGGTAGAAGGTGACCACTGT